ATTCGGCCATAAATTTGGTGCTATCCCACCCCCGAGTCTGCTGGAAGAGGCCTATTTGTAGCGATTCAGCACTTAATTGAGCATCTGATGAATCAGAATTGGATTAGCAAATCAATTAAACCCGTTTTAAGGAAAAGACAAATGCTGTCCAAACAAACAGACTTTCACTGAGAAATTTAAGAGGTTCCTTAGATCTCTAAGTAAATTTAAAGTAAAATAGTTTAAAATTAGCAATTACAATTTGAAAAATGCATAAAATATCTAATGATATTACTAATTTACCTAAATCATCTCCTGGACTGCAATATCGCTTGAGGAATTTATTTATTTCAAATGGCAGGCGTTTCGATAGTTATCATCAGCCCTTTAGCAGACTTCGGGCTTCACAGAGGGGAGGAGCATCAAAGCAAAAAAAGTCGAGAGGGGGGGTGGACAGAAGAATGTTTCAAAGATGTAATGGAGACAGACACAAAGGTAGAATAAAGGTGAGGTGAGTACTGTGGAAGTAGTCGAATATGACATACAGTGGGGTGGTGGTAGTTTCAAGTCAGAAGTCAATTGCCGATTAATAGACTTTTTTGCCGTATGAGTATACGTTGCCCAGGGTGCACCACGTGGAGGTAAGTCAATCCCACACCCTCTCCGTAAAAGTAACTCTATATCGCGAGATGGCAAAACTTTTAGAATCAGATTAATTCCGAAGAGTTAGACTATTTTATTCCAATTATTATAGATATTACCGAATATTAATTTATTTTGATAATCAAGTAAGCGTCTTGCGTCTAGGTGAGAAATTTATTTGAGAACAAGGGGTCAAATCAAATAGCTTAAGCAGGAAAAATGAAGCATTTCCAAACCCAAAATTCGACAAATTGACAATGATCTTAGTTGTGTATCGAGTTGGAATTCAAAAAAATCGACTTAAACCAAAGTGAAGGAATCATTATTTATTACGGCATGGGTGTGCGATAGACTTACCTCCACGTGGTGCACCCTGGGCAACGTATACTCATACGGCAAAAAAGTCTATTAACCGGCAGTTGACTTCTCACCTCAATCTACCATCACCTCACTCTATGCCATATTCGGCTATTTCCTCGGCACTCACCTCACCTTTCATCTACCTTTGTGTTTGTCTGTTACATCTTTGAAACACTCTTCTGTTCCCCCCCCCCCAACTTTTTTCAATTTGATGTTCCTTCCCCTATGTGAAGCCTGAAGTCAACTAAAGGGCTAATGATAACCATCAAGACGCCTGCCATTTGATATAAATAAATTTATTACGGCAGAATTTATCAAAATGGACGAAACCAAACTCAGTGTTGAGAGTAAATTTCTGAGGTCAGTCACTTTATAAATTGCATGCTACAATCAAAATTGTAAATACTTATGGATATTTTAGCTATTAACTCGAAACCTGCCTTACTTTTGGCAAACAATCCATATATATATGAGCAAAATAAGTCAATTTGATTTCTAGGTTGGATAATACCTAGGTCTAGACAGTAATAAAATATATTTAGGGTCTATGAATGGTGTGTGGATGTCATGCGAAATGCTCTGTAAATTAAACAATTAAGGAGCTTGAGTAGAAAATTTTCGGTAGTTGAAGTGTACGTCACCAAATATGATTCATTATTTCATGGAGAATAAATATCAGTTCATGAAAATCGAGAGTGCTTTCGGACTGAAATGCACACAAGTCTTGGATATAATGAATCTTGGCTCTTCGAAGGTGCTTAAGTAACAAAAGAGGGACACGCAAATTGATGTGGCTATTAAAAATTTGAGTTGGTGAGACAATTTCTACTCGATTTATTTAAGTAGGCGAGAATATTTTACATAGAAATGCAAACGAAAAATAGGGACTATTTTTATGAACCAACACAATGGAAAGAGACTAATTCTAACAAATGAGGCCAATTAGTTGACCGCTTTAGATCATGAAATAAGGTAAGTGAGTTCACACAAAAATCAGAAACATTAAAAAACGACAATCTCACAGAATGCAAAGCGAAAGATTCGAATTAATGTTATATATTATGTATGAATATAGTTAGATCACAAATATGCCTGCTACATAGAACCACATTTATTCGGGTAGATTCATATAACAAAAAACCAACCGATTGGCGCGTTTATTAATAAATACAATAAAAAGAAATCATACATATGGCCACACTTAAGGAGTAGTTAGTAATTGTTCATCAGATGTTAACTCAAGCCGTTTAAACACCAGACAGACGGTACTGGCACCAGTTCTACCGCCAAAAGAAAAGGTGCTAATTGGTGGGATTTCGCAGACAAACTCGAAAACCTTTCTCACAGCCTTATTTATCGTTTGAGGTCGTGTGAATTCTTGACGCAACTCATCAGCAGTCCAATTACACGATGTAATAATAAAAGTCGCATCCGGACGCAAAAGGCGATAAGTATTTTGCATATAAATGTCTCGAGATTTCTCAGAAATTTTTGTGGGGTCTGAAGCATCCGGAATCAAAGTGATTGCATCAAAAGTTCCTTTGTCAATCGCTACGTCAAATGCATCATCAGATGAAGGAGAAAAGGCATTGATTGATTCAGTGGATAAGATATCCACACACTTAGAAGTTGTATAATAAATTTATTAAAAGCATACTTCAAAGTTTAAATTACTGCGAAGATTATGCTTTTCAGTAAGTTTATAAGAGAGATTAATGGCGTTCTCAGAGTAATCAATTCCGGTTACGGAAGAATATCCTCGTTTAGTCTAGATGAACGTAAAAATTTGAAAAAAACTACCAATTCAAGGCAGAAGTGACCATTTCCGCAACCCAAATCTAAAATTCGAGCATCTTTGGGGGTTTCAACACGGGCGAGATATTTGATAATACGTTCTTCACTAGACACACCAAACCTAAGAGAATGATTAAGAAATCAAAAAATGCTTACCAAATGTCACCCTCATCTTCGAACTGTTCAAAATTCTTTAGTTCAATATCGTAATGATCATCCCAACTGTAAGAGAGCAAGTTGAAGTTAAAAAAATGCAATTACTATTCCTTAGATCCCAACGTTGATGGCTTCAAATCACCCATCGTGAAAAACAATCAGCAATACTAGATAGGTTGTGGTTGTAAATTAAGCCAACGTGAAAAATGCAAATACTAACGATCACAAAAGTGAAAGAGCATATGCGCCCAACGTGACGGCAAGGTGATATTTCGAACCAAGCACGGTGAAATTAAATTATTATAATGTATCTAAAATTATAAAAAAAAATAAATACAAATGAAAAATTCAAAAACATGAAGCACAATTCACAATATATGGCACAAGTTTAAAAATAGTAGAATTATAAAAAGCATAAATTTAGTATGGCATATGATAACGTTTACTAAATAGGATGGGAAAAAATATCCATTCAAGAAGTTATTTAATTAAATATGTGCTGTAATAAACGTTTTAATAAATTAAATTATTTACTATATGAGGTCAAGGTTGCGAGCGGGCTTTTTGTAGAATATCATAGTTAGTATTGGTGATGTCTTTCAATGGCATGCGTGTTCAGTTTAGGATTTTCATATTTAGTCTCCAAAATAAAAATCCAGAAACATCCCATCATAATCAAATGTCTCTTTATTCACACAATTATCATCTATATAGTATTATCCGGCTGTTATTCTTATAAACTAGATCCTGTATCTTCGTTTAATGTAAGTTTATCCATCTATTTATTCTAAATTTGATATCTAAAATATTTTATTGTTCCCATAATAACATTTTCATGGATGAGATTTGTTTAATTATGACAATGAGTCTTTACAAATTTTTTCTTTTTTCACAATATTTCCATTTAGCCGATTACTTTTCTTTCGTTTTTTGAATAAATTTAGACAAATATTTTTTCTGACTATTGATTTGCAATTTATTTCAGAATACTGTCAATTCTACGTTTTCTCAATCTTCAAATGCTCGTGAATGGTAAAGTAATCTTATTTCATTTGTGCCATTTTCGATTTGATTTTACTTTTGTGTCAGCGATTTTTGTTTTTTTATTTTTAAGGCGTTTCAACTCCGTTCAAAGTTTTGCTCAGTCAATTAGCTCGAACTCTATAGTTTTCTTCAATAATGAAAAACAGATCAATCGACTTAAACGCTTGAATAAACCTATTATCCGGAGATTCGGTAAGTATTTTCTGCTGTTTATTTTGATGATATTCTTATTTCATCCTTTTTCGCTCATCTTCGTAGTAATTTTTTTGCAATATTCTCTTTTGTATTTACTTTTTTGCGCACTGTTACATGGCATTCCTAGTTTAGCTTTTTATGTTGCATTAATTGCGCTAGTTTTCAGTTCCACTTCAAATTGCTCCATTTTCGAATTTTCGTTTTTTCTAAAAGGAAAGTTATTAAATTGGACGTTGGGCAATTCAAATAAATGCATTTTTCCCGATAGCCGACTTAACATATATCTACTACGGTCACTTTTTTAATTCATAGGCTTTAATCCAATAACAATTCGATTTGAAACTAACTCGTTCATTTTATTAAAAAAGATAGGAATTGTTTTTGATTCTAATTGATCCAAAGTTGTGTGAATTTTATTGGTCTTTTCTTAACTTACCAGGCAAACTATCCCACAACTACTGAAAGACAGAGCAGCCTGATTGCATTTATTGATAAAGTCATTCACTTCGATTGATTGCTCATTTATTATATGATGTTTACACCATTCTGTTTGGCGTTCTCATAAGTTAGTGAAAGTCGTGTGTGAGATGGCCAATGTGAACTATTTTATGAGCTTCGTCTATGATATCACACAGCACTTCTCACCTTCTCACTTCAACGCTTAGTCACCGTCAGGAATGATAGCTTTGTAAATTACTCATTTCTTTTTGTGCACAATACGCCACCTACGACTTCTTTTCTCTAAAAATTTGAAGAATAAATCCACATTTAGTTTTTATATCTACAAACGATGGAAGCCCATGGCAGGTAACTAGAGCCTGCTGTGTTGTTTGATTGCTTGCGGACCACTCAAACTATTTGTCAATTTTTTTCAGGAATGAGTTGTTTACTTTTTTCCTGGCACAATTTGACACTCGGACTATAAGCTCTTAACGAAATCGGAGTCATTTTTAGATTTGATTGATATCACTAGCTCAAATCATGTTGCATAATTTTTTCTGTAAGTTGATCCCCATGTATTTATATTTAGCCAATTAGCCAATGAATAGTTTGAAACATCTGTCAAAATTTTTATCTAAGTGTGACTCAATTCGAAATATAGTGAATGAAATCGGCACGACAATGATTTAAAAATAAATCATTTCATAACTATGATAAAGAAAGGGTTCCCTTTGGGCTGTCTTGTTCTGATACTGGTATTTTATGCGTATCTGTTTAGATTGCTCCTCTTATGTATCAGTTTACTAATCCAAATAATAAAATTCAAATTCGCGGAAATTTTCTCTCTACTTTCTGTCAGAATGCCCTGGACACTCGTGTGTTCAGGTCGTAGATCACCAGCTCGAATGTACATAATCTTTTTGGTAAGGTCGCAACTTTAGATTCCACCCTTGTCAAAATTTTTTGGATTCACTCTTTTAAATCATTGCTGTAAGCAATAGTTCATATACATATGCATGGATTTTAGTTGAATGATTGATTTATACTTGTGTGAGTCTTGTTTATCACCATCAAAATCATTATATCAAAAAATTTTTTTAGTTGCACCCGAATAGCTGATGTAAGCAATGTTTTATAAGATTGTGCAGAAACTTATTTGATATTTGGAAGACAGATGTGTACTGGAAAGTAATTTAACCCTTTGATCTTGAGTATTAGTGCAGTGAACATATCGTTAAAAATCCCGTTCAAACACTCCTATTACCCTTGATACACCATTAAAACTGCAAATTTTAGTTATAAGGCGTAGAAAGAGAATTTAATAAGGTAAGGGGGAGGCTGTTAGGGGTTCAAGAAGTGGTTAATGAATTGAGCCTATCAATAACCCTATTTGAATTGAATTCAGGCTTATTGAATTGTCGGTATTCCCGTAAGACGGAGAGAGTTCACTTCGTAAATTGGCTCTCATATTCATAGGTGAGCTTGTGTTCTCAATATTACGAACTGTGATTGAAAGGTTAATCGAGATCCATGGTTGGTTTCTCCTCTTGGAGTTAAATTTATCTACAGCATCAAGCAGGCTATTTGTGCATTTTTCTATTCTTCTCTTTGCCTTTTCCACTCTTTTAATGGGTATTTCCGTTTTAACTGTTCTGAAGAGGGATACTAGTCTAGTTCAACTCCAAACGGGCCACTTTTGGATGGACCTTGCTCAATACTTCAGATAAAAATGTCTAATGTTTAACTATTTCCTCTTTTGAACTTGTAGAGCAAGCTACGCGCGTTATCTATCGAAACATCACCATTCCAAATAAAGTAAGTTTTATTATATCATTTATCATGATGATTTGGCACTTAACAAAGCTCAGAATTCTATGCTAAAACTTACTGTTTATGGAATAATGATACAAATGTGTTAGTTGTTTGGCAGTAATCGTGATTAATTATGGTTATTTGTGCCATCAATATGACAAGCTTGAATAGACTATGCCAAGTGTTTTCAACTTTGACTTAACCTTTATTATTAGATATTTATTTATTTATTTATATCAAATGGCAGGTGTTTTGATAGTTATCATTAGCCCTTTAGGTGACTTCAGGCTTCACAAAGGGGAAGGAACGTCAAAGTGAAAAAGTCGTGAAAGGGGGTGGAACAGAAGAGTGTTTCAAAGACTAGGGTAGAAAAGGTAGAAAAAGGGTGAGGTGAGTACTGTGAAAGTAGCAGAATATGACATACAGTGGAGTCATGGTAGCTTGAAATCAAAAGTCAACTGCCAGGTAATAGACTTTTTTGCCGTATGAGTATACGTTGCCCAAGGTGCACCACGTGGAGGTATGTCTATCGCACACCCCTTATTATTAGATATATAATTACACCCTAATGAAGTTTTATTTGCTTTTGTGACTTTTTGGCAAAATAGGGTCAACTAAACTCCTTATGGTAGTGTAGAGGTCAGCATTCGAATCTCTCATAGAAACTCGATGCACAAATGTACATAAGTATCCATTTTTCAAATGGCAGGCTTTATGATATTTATCATTAGCCCTTAAACTTTGACTTCAGCTTCCCCCATGGGTGGGGGGGGGGTTACATTTATAGCAGTTAATTAATAGCAGTTCACTAGCTGTCTTCTTGCTTCCCAGTATCTCTGGCTTTTCGTCGTTGTCTTTAGGGCTGGACACCGAATCAGGTGGGTCTTCTCCATTTCCTCCTGTAGGTTACATTTAGGGGGCATGTGGGTTGAGTGTATACTCCCAATCTGTGAAGGTGTTTTGCCAGGCAATCGTGTCCGGTACGTAGTCTAAACTCAGCAACGGCTTCGATTCTTAGCCAGTCGGCTATATCCACAGGACACAGGACAGGTCTCTCACTATGAGAAACTTCCTGAGACTGCTACTTCTTCCACGTTAGGCGCTGGTAAACATACTCCCATTCAATGGCTTTCAAACTGTTATTGCCTATTAATACATTATCTTATTAATTACAAGTTTCTACGGACTTGAATTTTTTGATTACTTTCTTGGTCTTTTTTTGTTTGTTCTCTGCAAGTTTAAGGAATTAGGATAAGGGAAAAGTAGCTATTTTTTCATTTTGGGTTTGCGTGAATTTTTTTCTTAACTTTCAATTCATAAACGGCTTTGAGAGTTTGCATCTCTCTACCTCCAAATACCTCTTCTTTAGCATTCACTTATGGTTTTCCCAGCATTGTCGTAGAAAATTGCATAACTTGCCTCGGATTTAATATGTTAGACCGTTTTTTTTGTTATTTTAACTCCCTATCACCTCACCGGTAGGCATAATTCTTGTCCATATGGCGGCATCGTGCACTTGTTTGAACGACAAATGGGTTTATTCCTACATTTCACCTAACAATGGGTTGATTTATGGGAGAATTTTCGTAGTGATCTCATAGTAATATTGGGGGAAAAAAATAGATATCAGACAAGATTGAATGTTCCCACATTTTCTCCACCGTTTGGTGCCAGCCTTCAAAGGAAATCAATCTTTGCATTTACACTCCCAGTGGCAATTTTGCTTTAATAAGAGCCGTAAAACTGTGACCAATGCTATGTTTGTGTTATTTTTTTCGCCCACATTTGGGGTACTTGGTTTAATTTCATGCAATCGCAGAAACTGGACATAAAATTCCAGAATCCCACAGCGGCAACTTCTAATCATATTTTCGGGCTTATTTTCTCCGATGATTCAGCCAAACACGCGGTTACGCCGCAATCTAACTGCCTCCTAAGTAAAATGAAGTAAAATGGGAGAATAATGTGGGCCAAACAGCTCTAATCCACTTAGTTTTAGTCTGTTTGAACCTGGATGCTATTTAGACTTGTACCAATAATATACTAATAGCTACAGGCTCTATTAATAACAATTAATGGATAGCCATTTTGTGACAAAAATTTTGTTATATGATCGGCGATTCAGGCTAAGCGTCCCGATATGTGCTGTCTTTCCTTGAAAAAAAGATGGCTTATATCACTTTACTTACTGGATGCTTCTTTGTTTAAATGAACCGATAAATTTTAAAAACGTGCCAATAGGTATAATTTAATCGGTTTTCCTTAAGTTGTATATCCTCAACTTAGCTAATTTGCCTTTCAAAAAATAAAGAAGTTATTTCAATTGATTATGGGCAATTATCTCCCACGAGTCTTACCCTGGTATGTCTACTTCCCAAAGGTTACAGACTTTCCCTTCTACTTACAGTCTGATCAAAGTCTGTAAGGATGTATGCTGATGGGGAAATTGCGAGATTTTCTCATTGATCTTTTATTGAAGTATAATTTTCAGGCAACATTATTACCGGCTGGTTCTTCAAAGTGGAAAAATCTCATTTCGACAAAAGTAACTCTCATTCTCCCATCACTGCTTTGATCAGTTTCGGGTAATACCAAGCAATACCATTTGTTGGGG